GGCCCAGCCCCAGTCATTCAGGGAGTGAACAGATGAAAGATCTTTCTCTCTCTCTCTCTCTCTCTTGCTCTGCCTTCCAAATAAATAAAATAAATCTTAAAAACATCTCTTTTGCATGCTCAAAAAAATGTAGCATACAGCATGCATAAGCGGAGGATCCAAGGTAGCAGCTCTGTGAGCAAAGCCCAGCTCCCTAGTGTGGTCGCTCTTCTTCCTGGAGTCTGGCGACGTCCCACTCTAGCTGCTTCGGCCACTTGAACTGGGCAGCCACCCTTCTTTTTCCTAGCTCCGTTCTGACTGTTTCTGTCCCCAGCCCCCATAGGCTGGGCCAGGCCACTACATGCCCTCCCCGCTGGGAGACAGTCGCTGACCCCCGGGCTGTGAAGCCCCACTGTGGAGTCACTTATACAGCATTTGCATCTCATGGCCGTGGCTCTACCCCAGAGCAGAAATGTCCAACGCCTGGGACTGACGGGACCCCTGGAGTCTCTTCTCGCCCATCCACGGTGCCGTGAAGGCTGCTGACTTGCGAATCTTTGTCCAAACACATGAGTGTCTTCCCCAGAGTCCCATTCCTTCTGCAGCTTGGGTCAAGGTGTGGCCATGAGGCCGAGGGTCTCCCTTCGAGAAAGAGAAGAGCGTTCCCCTTCTACAACACGACCCCTTGTGAACCGTGGTTCCCCCAGCGGGAAGCGTAACCGAGGACTTCCCCTGGTGGCTTGGTCAGAGCCCGGGCTGAGTGAGCTGCTTCTGCAGAAACTCGATAACATCAGGACGGCGGGGTTCCGGGCAACGGACCATCCTCGTGGGACTGCAGGAGTGGCCTCCTCCGGGCAGACACCCTTCCCCTCCCCCGCCGCGTCCAGGTGCGTCCCTGGCGTCCGCTCCATGCCCCTCTTTGTCCCTGAAGATGGACCCCTCCCAACCCCAAATCACCTTGGTTCACACCACCAGGCTTCTCAAAGTCAAAACTCCCAGTGGGGAACAAGACCCGGATGGGTGTCGCTGGAGTCAGGGGCAGGGGCTGGCGCTTGGGGCTGAGCACATGCACTCCAAAGTGGCATCTGGGGAATTAAAGGAGGCAGCAGGAAAGCGAGAGAAGCTAAGCTTCCGTCCAGTGCCCTGTGCTTTAGCCAATGCCTTCCAAACAAGGGGCCAGCCCACCTGCAGTGAAGTTTGCCCTCATTCCGCCAGCTTTGCTGTGGAGAGGGGCACTGTATGGAGCCACGGAGAGAACCAGGAAGCTGAGACTTGATCTGCCACTGACTCCCGGCCTGGTCTTGAGGCTGAAGTCTGTCCCGCCCTCAATTTCCTCACCTGGGGGCTAAGGATGCATGGACTACCAAGGGACACCTCCATGGATCCTTGAAACTCAGAGTCTGCAAAAACTCCAGCTCATCTCCAGCTCCCTAGGGCTTCTTTAGAATGTAAAGTCTGTGCAACACGCTGCTTTTCTAACGATCTCATCACGCTCTGGTTCAAGGCGGCATCGCCATAGGGCAGGTTGGTCATGAGCATGCCCTCGGAGGATGAGTCTTGTCTACACTGCAGGATCCTCTCCTTGGTGGAATGACCTAGAGCAGGCTGTCGCACTCCTTCTTGTGGGATCACAGCTTTTGCAAAAGCAGAAGGCCTCTTGCTTCCGGTGGCTTTACACATCCGGGACCTTATTGGCTCTGGACAAGGCAGGTAACATATGTGCTTTCCCAGCCGGCCCTGGGGTCTTGGCCGGTGCTGTGGAGTAAGTGCCACGCCTCTGAAACACTGAAGCGTGATGCTTCAATTGTTGGCCCCCCGGTGGCTGCCAAGCTTGGAATAACCGCGTTGAGTCAGCTGGCCCTTTGCACTGCTGTGGGACTGCACTTCCGCCAACTTCCATTCCCCCAGTGGAGGAGGAGACATGAGCAGAGGTCCCACGTGTTCTCTTTAGGGAAGGTGAGGGATGAGTAGAGGTAGAGGAAGAATAGGATGGGAGGGGAAGAAGAAGAGAGAGAAGAGGAAGAGTGAAAGGGTGGGGGGAGGAGGGAAGAAGAAAATGGCGTTGGAACTGGACACTAAGGAAATCAAGCCATTACTTAGCTTTGGGTTGGGCAGTGAGACTACCACTTGCACAGCTGGGTGTTTATGCACTGCTGCTTGATTCTGTGCCTGGAGATAAAATCTCAAGGTGTCAGCAATCAGAGGGCCTTTGAAACCCTGCTCAGAGGGACCAGGGGGACGGCGAGAGAGGAAACCCTTTTGCACTGAGATTTGTGCTATCTCCGATGTCCATCTGTGCACAGACCTCATTTGAAACTGTGATAGATGAAATCAGGAGAGTTTGGTGATCGCTGCCTGTCTGAGTCCGTTTTCTGTTGCTGTAACAGAACCCTGGAGACCGGGCAATTTAGAAAGGGAAGCAGTTGATGGAGCTCCTGGTCCCTCCCGGCTGGGAGTCCGGGATGGAGGGGCCGCCTCTGGGGAGGGCGTCGGGCGCATCCTAGCATGGTGGGAACGCGGACGGCAGGTGGGCATGCGCAGAGAAACAGCGACGCCGGGGGCGACCTCGCGCCTAACAACCCACTTAACCAGGAAGGCGTGCTGGCCCTCTTCACGACTTAGTCACCTGTGAGAGGCCATGCCTCCCCACGGCGCCACGAGGCGATCAAATTTCACCATGAGTTTTAGAGGGAAGAAACCTTACTTATCTATTTTACACTTCTCTGAATTTACTTTTTACTTACTTGACAGGCAGAGAGACTGCACGAGAAGAGGAGAGAGACAGAGACACAGAGGGAGCTTCCAATTGCTGGTTCACTCCCCAGATGCCTACGACAGCCAAGGCTGGGCCAGACCAAAGCCAGGAGCCTGGAACTCCTCCCAAGTCTCCCACATGGGAGGCAGGGACCTCATACGTGGGTCATCCCTGCTGCCGCGCCGGGTGTGCGTTAGCAGGAAGCTGGAATCGGGAGTGGAGTGGAGCTGGGACTTGAACTCAGGCACCGCGACATGGGATGCAGGCATCCCAAGCAGCACCGTAGCTGCTGGGCCACAGACCTGCGCCAGACATCCCGTGGCTAAACCATAGTGACAGCCCGCCCTCCCGCAAAGCGTGGGACAGCCCCACGAGACTGAAGTGAACCCCAGCTCCACCACGCATGCATGGGTCAGGTGAGTTTGGCCAAAACGATTCCATCTTTCAGCGCCTTTGTTTTCTCCCCTGAGCCACGAGGCTGTTAGCAGCATACACACCGTGGAGCTGTTGGAGGACCCCATGAGGTTAGACGTTGAGTGCACTTGGTGAAGGGCAGCCCCCGTCATTAGTAACGCACACGTCAGCCATGTCCCATGAGTCTGTGCGTGCCATGAGGGCAGGGACATGTCATGGTCACTGTCAGCCTTCACAGTGGTGTCCACCCCCACACGGGCACAGTGCTCATCCACCATGCTGGGTGCAGGGCACCGAGCCAGATTGCTCCTGTCTCTCCGAGGGCTCCTGGTTTCCAGTGCAGGGGGCAGAGAGGGGTCCCTTCGCGGGACCAGGCTCGGGCAGATGTTAGTGGTGTCCCCTGTTCCCTCCTTGGAGCCAAGAACAAGTTAAGAATAAGGCGATTCCATGGATGGTCTTTTTTAATATTTATTTATTTGAAAGGCAGAGTTAGAGAGAAGGAGAAAGAGAGATATATATCTTCCATCTGCTGGTTCACCCCATAAATAGCCACAATGGCTGGGGCTGGGCCCGACTGAAGCCGGGTGCCAGAAGCTTCATCAGGATCTCCCAAGAGACTGCTTTTTCCAGGCCATCAGCAGGGAGCTGGATGGGGAGTGGAACATCAGGGACTTGAACTGGCACCCATATGGGATGCTGGCGGTTACAGGCGGCAGCTTATCCTGTTATGTCACAATGCCAACTCCGAAGGCAGGAGCCAGGTGCTTCTCCTGGTCTCCCATGCGGGTGCAGGGCCCAAGCACTTGGGCCATCCTCCACTGCACTCCCTGGCCACAGCAGAGAGCTGGCCTGGAAGAGGGGCAACCGGGACAGAATCTGGCGCCCTGACCGGGACTAGAACCCGGGGTGCCGGTGCCACTAGGTGGAGGATCAGCCTATTGAGCCGCGACGCTGGCCACAGCTCAGCTTTTGAGCTCTGTAGAGATGCACTGATTTCTGACCCCCACCCCCTACCGCCAGAGCAGCACTAGACAGAGTAGGGCCTGGCATTTGGATTTACTTGGCCAAGGTCTAAAGGGCACTTCTCTTGGCATGCAACGGAGCGGAGAGGCTCAGGGACCCTGTAGATGCCTTTTGTAGGACATCACTGGACGAGCTGGAGTCGTGGACGCTCCCCATCGCTGGAGAAAGGTGACATCAGCACGCCCTGCCACTGTCCATGCCAGCCTCAGTGGTAGTGAGACCACCACGCCCCATCCCCACCCTAGCAAAGACCCCTCTGCTGGAAGTAGCGTGGGACAGGCACTGGGCCCCGGGCTGTGGAAGAAGGGGGCGCGTGGCTGACATGACTCTCGAGAGCCTCACAGACACGACTTCACTGGAACCGAACTTCTTTTAAAATAAGCAGTTCTGGGGTGGGCATTTGAGAACTGCTCTTGGGACACCCGCGTGCCATGTTGGAGCGCCTGGGTTTACTTCCAGCTCCAGCTTTCTGCTAAGGGGCAGCCTGGGAGGTGGCAGGTGGTCACTCAGGCACGTGAGACCTTGCTGGGCCACCCCCTTGTCTTGGCAAACTAGATTTCGGAGATGTGTAAGGGCCCTGTGCCCAAGTGGGAGACATGGATCGAGTTCTGGGCTCCTGGATCCGGCCTGGCCCAACCCTGACTGTTGTGGGCATTTGGAAAGTGAACCGATACACAGAGACCATCTCTCCATCTGTCTCTGTCTCTGTTTCTGTGTGTGTATATATATATGTATACATATATATACAAATGTATACATATATATACAAATGTATACATATATATACACACACAGAAACAGAGACAGAGACAGATGGAGAGATGGTCTCTGTGTATCGGTATATATATGTGTAGATGTTCTCTGTGTGTCAGTATATATATATATATATACACACATACATACATATATATATAATGAACTGAAAAATTCTAGTAGTCCAGAACCTACAATGGAAACCAGAGAGAGGCTTCCAGAAGCAGTCATCGCATCTCTTGAGCACCTACTATGTGCCAGGCCCTGGGATCTCCAGCGAGGCTCACAGCACCTGCCCGGTGGATCTGAGGATCCCCTTGCACAGACGTGGAAGTGAAACTTTGCCAACTTCTCACCCAGGTAAGAAGAACAAAGCTGATCCTCTCCGTAGAGTCGAGCTATGAGTGGACCATGAAGGTGGGGATGGAAGGCAGCCCAGGAAAATGGAAATGGTGGACCCTCAGGGGCGATGAGATGGCTGGGGACTTGGCCCTCGGTGAATGCTTGTGGCGCCTTGGGTAGAACTCTGGCTTTCAGACAGGTCTGTGCAGCCTCTGGGCTGACAAGGTGGTAAGGGCCCTCGGGCACCCCTCCCCCTCCCCGTCCTCCCCCACATTCTCAACTGCTCTGTTAAGTGCTGAGTGAGTGCGGGGAGGGAGAGTTTGGGGGAAACCCCTCCTCCAGCTCAGGTTGGCTTTGTTGCTTTCAAAAGCTCACTGCAAATCTGCTCCCTTGGAGCCTAGGACGATGACAAGGATGACTTCTCCTCCTCCTCCTCCTCCTCCTCCTCCTCCTCCTCCTCTGCCTCCCCCCTCCCTCCTCCGCCTTCCCCTTCCTCTTCCTCCCCCTCCTCCTCCTCCCCCTCTTCCTCCTTCTTCTCCTTCCCTTTTACGAATCAGCCACAATGCACCTGTGTGGGCCAGAGACGCTTCTGGAACACAAGTCTTGCTGAAGTCTGTTGCTCCTGGGCCTGCAGACCCCCCCCACCCCGCTTCAGATGCCCTGCCCCCCCCCCCCAGAAAGGCTTCTTTCAGTCCGGGCCCTGGCCACCGCTAGACTCAAGACCCCAAGTCCCCCATGGAGGAGGTGACTGAGAGGGCGGCTGAGACCCCCAGCTGTGATGAAGGCAGAAGTCACCTGGGAAGCCTAGTCTTCCTCCTCCGAGTCCCAGCTTCCCAGGGGCACTGTGAGACCTGTCCAGCCAGGTGGTCCTGCAGGTCCCACCCCAGTCTCCTCCCCACCCCAGTCTGGCTCTGAGAGCTGCAGCCTGCCGTTGTAACAAACACTCCTGACGCCACCTGTTGCCCTTCTGAGGGCTTGATGAACCCACAAGTGACTTCCCAAGGTCACCATGCAAGAGATGCCGGGTGAGGATTCCTCACCTGTTCACCCTGCGGGAGCACCCCCCTGTCTTGGTAAGTTGGGTTTCTCATATACGTGCAGCCGTGCTATGTCAGGATAGTCGCTTCATAATTTTGTTCTTGAATATTACTTTCATTCTTAAAAATTGTATTTATTTTCATTTTATTTGAAAGGCAGAGAGATAGACAAATAGGGACTGCCCATCAGCTGGTTCACTACCCAAATGCCTGCAATAGCCAAGGCTCAGGTCAGGACCCAACTCCTTGAGCATGTTGCCCCCCAGGGTGTGCACCTGCAGGAAGCTGGATGGAAGTGGGGAGCTGGGATTCTAAGCAGGCACCCCGGACGTGATGCGATGTCCCGAGTGGTGTCTGAACCACTACCTTCATCTTAATGCCAGTTGATGGGAGGGGATTTGAAATCAGGAAAAAGAATAAAATGGATGGGTCTGGTGCTGCGGCATAGTGGGTAAAGCTGCCAGCATTCCATATGGGCTCAGGTTTGAGTCCCTGCTGCTCTATTTCCACTTCTGATCCAGCTCCCTGTTAATGGCCTGGGAAGGCAACTGAAGATGACCTAAGTACCTGGGTCCCTGCCACCCGTGGGGGAGAACGAGACAGAGCTTCTGGCCCCTGGCTTTGGCCTGGCCCAGCCCTGGCCATTGTAGCCATCTGGGGAGTGAACCAGCAGGTGGAAGACCTCTCTCTCTCTCTCTCTCTCTCTCTCTGTCTCTCTCTCTTTCACTCCCTCACTCTCTCTGTAACTCTGACTTTCAAATAAACAAATAAATAAATCTTAAAAAAAAAAAGAATTAAATGGATGAGCTCAAAGCTGAAGGGGTGATCAGGGTCCCCAAAAACAGAAACCAAGAGCTGACCACACTCCCTGCTTCTAGACACCAGGGGAGAAAGGAGGGCAAAAAGGGATCTTCTATCTGTTTGAAAGCTAGTTACAGAGAGAGAAAGAGATCTCTTATCCACTGTGTACTCCCCAAAGGCCTGCAATGGCTGGGGCTGTGTCAGACTGAAGCCAGGAGCCAGGAACTCCAGCCAGGCCTCCCACATGGCTGCAGGGTCCCAAGGACTTGGGCCATCTTCCTCTGCTTTCCCAAGTGCATTAGCAGGGAACTGGATTGCAAGTGGAGCAGTCGGGATTCTAACTAGTGCTCGTATGGGATGCCGGCACTGCGGGAGGCAGCTTGACCCGCTGCACCATGCCAGCCCCAAGAGAATCTTTCAAAAACACTGAAATTATCCCCAAGTAAAGACTAGGCTTGTAAAAGAAAACAGAGGACTGCTTATTTTGTTATTTCTGGAACCATCCAAGCTCCAATGATCAAGTATCACCTTGTCTGGTTTTTCCCTGTCCTTCAAGTTTCTTTCTTGTATGACGTTCAGTTTGTAACAACATATAAACGGTAAACAAATGAATGGGAGTTATCATTTGATCCTTGTGAGTGTGGTTTCTTTCCTAAATTCAAAGCCAGGCTCAGCTGAGAACCTGCTCTGGACAGACTGATGGAGGAGACGTCTGGGTGGGTCCTCCTTGGGGGGCAGGTGCAGAGGCACAGGCAACCTGTGACCACACGCGGAGTCTCAGTTCACTCATAAAGATCACACGCCCCAACCTCCAGCCCTGTTCCCGGACAAGCCGTCCTGTGGTTCTGAAACCTGGTGACTGTGGGGGAGGGGCCTGAGACCACTCTCAGCCATGTCCCCTGTCCCCGACACCAGTCACTGAGCCCTCCAGGCGCTCCATGAGAGCTGGGAACGAGCAGTGACTAAAACTGACAGCCCATGCCCTAGAGCCCCCAGTGTAACAGAGGAGACGGACGTATGAGGACTCCACGCAGGAAAGCCCACTAGGGATGGAGGGAGCACAGACAGGGGGCTTCCAACCAGTCCTGAGGAGTCAGGATTCCTCCCCAGGGGACAAAACTTTAAGCCAAGACATCACGACCGTGTAAGATGCAAGCCAGGCGTGGCTGAGACTAGCTGTCATGTGTGGCTTCCTTGCTCGGCCTTCTGAACACAGAGTAAGACCCCATTTCCCAGCATCCCTTGTATCAGGGATGACTGTGAGACTCAGCCTTAAGGTAATGGAAGGGGGACAGTGGAGAAGCCACCTGCAGGCCTGGCTCCTGTTCTTGATTCACTCGCCCGCTAAATGCAGAGGACCCAGAGCTCCCAGGGAAAGCAGCCGGGCAAGGTGGAAGGCGCCTGGGTTCCTGAATCACCACGCGGAAGGCCAGCCACCCACTGGGAGCACCCTGGTGAGCTACAGCACACACGGGGAGCACGGGTCTCCTGTACAAAGTCGTGGCGCTCCAGGCTGAATCTAGGATAGCACCTGACCTTATAACAAGTAGGAGTGGGGTTAAAGGCTTTGAAAATAATTTAGTGAAAACCAACCTACTGTAGGTGGGAGCAGTCACTCAGACGGAGTGGGGAGAATGGTAGCAGAGGCAGGTTGCCTGGATGACCCTCGGGCTCTGCAGGTCCCGGATGTACGGCCCTGGGCAAGCCGCTCAACCTCTCTGAATTTTGGTTTCATCATTTGTAAAGCGAAGCTGAAAGGATCTTTTTCAACAGGTTGTCGCTGAGTAAGAATGCGTCACAGTTAGAATGGTGCTGAGTACATAAAAGGCTGATCAAGGAATGCATCCCTTATCCTGAATCTGCGCACTGTGGAAGATCCGGTAATGATATGCTTTGGCGATTAGTGACGGTGATGCGAAGAGTACATGTGTGTTGAGAACACCCACATGCATGTGCTGATCCCATTCTCATGGCACTAGGAATCAGGCCTTGCCTCCTCCCAGTTGCACAGCATCTCGCCCAAGGTCAAGAGTTCAGAAGGGGTAGAACAGGGCTTGTAATCCAGGCAGATGCGGCTGCAACTCCCACGGTGCCAGGGGAGGAACAGTGAGATGGGGCGATGTGCTTCAGAGGGTCTGAAGCTGGGGCCCAAGCCCCGGCCCCTGTGCACTGTGATTCACTTATTGTGTTCAAAGCCCTCCTTATTTTTCAATATTTAAATTTTTATTGATTTGTCCCCACTTTATTTGAAAGGCGTAAGAGATAAAGACCGAGATCTTCCATCTGCTGGCTCACTCCCCAAGCGCCCACCATGTGTGCAGCTGGGCCAGGCTGAAGCCAGAAGCTTGGAGTTTCAGCCAAATCTCCCACAGGGGCAGCAGGGGCCCAAGTACTTGAGGCATCACCTGCTGCCTCCCAGGCGCATTCGCAGGAAGCTGGATCAGAAGCCAGAGAGCAGGGACTCAAACTCAGGCCCTGCGTGCTGGGATGCAGGGATCCCAAGCAGCATCTTCACACCTGCATCACAGCCTGCACCTGGAGGCCTTTCTGTATCCACAAGAAACACTGTCTTTTTGCATCTTGGCAGGTGTCCTGGTGGCTTTGGCTACAATGATGCTGAACAAAACCAAAACCTGCTCTGGGACCAACTGTGAGAACTCTTCCTGCGGGCACAGCCCCGGTCCCTTCCTGCGATGCGACACAAGCGCAGTCCACCTGGGGCCTGCAGGCTGAGGGTCTCGGAAACGTGCAAGAATTTCCACATTTCCATGTCCACAAAGGCTCCGGGAGGCTCACACTGGAGCAAACCCATTGAGTTGAAAAGGATTCTCAATCGCAGAAAAACAAAACATAGGCAAGTCTAAGACGTGGGGCTTCTGTGCTCACACCCAAAGGATAAGAAACTGCCCAGAAAGGAAGGGGCTAGGGACACCTGCACCTCATTTCAGAGTGCCAGCAGTGGAGTGCCACCTCTACTTCCCACCCTGGGAGGCAGCAGGGGATGGCTCAAGTCCTTGGGCTCCTGCCACCCACATGAGAGACCTGGATGGAGTTCCTGGCTTGTGGCTTCCATTTGGTGCAGCCCTAGCCATGCAGGTATTTGAGTGAGCCAGAAGATGGAAGATTCTGTGTGTGTGTGTGCGTGTGCACGTTACTCTGTTTCAAAAAAATAATACAGATAAATAAAACTTAAAAGGAAGAGTTGGATATAGGGCTTGCTAAGACTTCACATGGCCACCAGAGGGCAGCAAAGACATTGGTCATAGAAGGCAGAGACCTAGTGCAGCTCTTCCAGTCCAGTGCAGGAGTTGGGCAGGAAAAGTAAGGAAAAGTGAGGAAAAGAAAGAAAGGACCCCCCACCCCCACCCAACTCAGGGAGCATCACCTACACCTGGAATCCCAGCCATTTTTAAAAGGATGAGTTTTGAACCTGTTCTTCAGATCCTGTAACTTACGAGTTAGTTGTCAGAAATTTAGAAGGACAGAATTTATGAATCAAACCATTATCACCTGACCACACCCAGAACTGCTGGCTAACATTTCAGTGACTGCTCTTTGGGAAAGAAGGTAGAAATAGATGTACAAGCCAGGACTGTGGCGTAGCAGATAGAACTGCCACCTGCAACGCTGGCATCCCATGTGGGTGCCAGTTCAAGTCCCCGCTGCTCCACTTCTGATCCAGCTCCCTGCTAATGTACCCGGGAAAGCAGTGGAAGATGGTCCTAGTGCTTGGGCCCCTGCACCCACGTGGGAGACTTGGAAAAACTCCTGGTTGCAGCCATTTGGTGAGTGAACCAGCGGATGGAAGATTCTCTCTAACTGTGCCTCTCAAATAAATAAAAATAAATCTTTTTTTTTAAAGAAATAGATTTAGATTAGATACAGATACACATGTAACATAGTCTGATTTGAAAAAATTGACACATGTCAGTATATATAGGTCTCCCACGTGGGTGACAGGAACCCAACCACTTGAGCCGTGTCCTGCTGCCTCCCAGGCTGTGCATCAGCAGGAAGCTGGATTTGGGAGCAGAGCTGGGACTTGTACTGATTCGGATGCGCGCATCCTAACCTCTAGGTCAAACGTGTGCCCTGGCCCCTCATACACCTTTTGAAGACCCCTGGAAAGTACCTAGGCATGTGTGTGTGTGTTTGTGTGTGTACACGTGCACCCACACGGATGTATCCTTGGGTCCAGGTGTCTCTGGCTCAACTGTGAGGCTTGGCAGGGCTGGGCGCCACTTCGCAGAGCCAGGGGACTGAGGGGCCGGTGGTCAGGAGCAGGGTCCTTTAGGTTCAGTGCTTGCCCCGCGGGGTCTCAGCCTCTTGACAAATCGGCGGAAGGCACATGTGTAGCCTTTTGCTCAAAAATAGTCCACAGTGTGAGCAGGTGCGCAGAGTTCGTTGAATTCCCCCCAAATGAGTCACTCTGAAGGTGTGAAGGAGGCGCACGGTTTAAGGAGTTACCACTTCCTGGTTCCACACAGGGACCCCGTCGTTCAGGCCAGACCAGGCACCCATGCTGGGAGAGGGCCAGGCGGCAGCAGCGGCTGTGCCTTTTTTCTCTCCCTACAAAGCCTCCACCCCATCTCTTTGTCTCCGGAAGTGACTGCTTCTTCCCGGAGGGAGACAGCAGCAGCCTCCTTCCCTGCGACCCACTCGCTCACCATCCAAAGAAAACCCCACCCAAAGTGCAGTGGAGCCCACACGGGGTCTTCCGGGGAACACGGGCGCCCGCCCGGTGAAGGGGGCCATCCCCTCTCCCTGATTATTCCAGCGAGCGCGTGGGACAGCCTTGATCCCCTCCCCGCCCCAGAAATTCTCTCTGCTGTGGGATTCGGAGTTGGGACAAATCTGGTTTTGAGTCTCAGTTGCATCTCACCCTAATTGTGTGATGGGGCTTCAAAACGCACATGGAACGAGGCTGTTCCAAAGTCTAGGCGGGCTTGCCACCCGCTCTGCATCCTGGTCGTGCGCAAGGGACAGTGGCAGCACGTGTGCGCCCCATGCTTTTGGGTCTGTCATGCTCACGTTCTCAGCTCTCCTGAGCCTAGCCAGGCGCATGCGGCCGTGGGCGGCGGCGTGGGAGGGGCATCCCAGAGAAGGAAAGGGAAGAGGCCTTCCGAGCACCGAGCAGAGGCCCCCAGACTCAGTGCAGCCGGGTGCTCACCCTGCTCTGTTAGAATTGATCAGGGGTGGGCATGTGGCACCGTGGTGAAGACGTCAACTGGGACACCCACGTCCACATTAGAGAACCTGGTTCAAGTCCCAGCTTAGCTGCCAATTCCGGTTCTTGCTAATGCAGACCCTGGGAGGCAGCAAAGGACGGCCCAAGCACTTGGGTCTCTGCCTCCCACATGGGAGACCCAGAGAGTTCCTGGCTCCCTGCTGCAGCCCCTGCTGGGGCCCACTGAGGGCCATTTGGGAGTGAACCAGGGGATAGGAGCTCTCTCTCTCCCTCTGCCTCTCAAATAAACAAATAAGTAATGTTAGGATTAATTTATCTATTTGAAAGGCAAAAGAGAGAGAGAGAGAGAGAGAGAGAGAGAGAATCTTCCATCTGCTGCTTTGCTCCCAAACAGCCAAGAAGTCACAAGTACTTGACCCATCCTCTGCACATTAGCAGGGAGCTGGACTGGAAGTGGAGCAGCCTGGGCTCAAGCTGCCGCTCCAGTATGGGATGTGGGAGTCACGGGTGGGAGAGTTAAGATACAGAAAGCACGGAAGCAGTGGGTACTGGAGCAGGTGCAGAAAACTAAAGAAAGAGACACGTTGTGGGGGGCGGGTGGGGATCTACGGTGAGCACAGTGAAATGGACAGAACTGTGCACTTTGCATCCCAGCATCGGTGCCTATGAGCCCCCAGCCTCCTGAAACCAGCTGGGAATGACAAGGAGGGACCTGGATGGATGGAGGGGAGGAGCTTGGCCTCGCCCTCATTAGGGGAACGCGCTACAGGAGAAGGGGTCCGGGAGATAACTGCTGTCTGCCACAAAGGACAAATCAGAGCACGCATGTGTCCACCTGACTGGGTCCCAAGGCGCCCATGTGAAACTCCTTCTGGGGGTCTGTGAGGGTGCTTCCTAGAGACCAGCACCTGGCCTGGTGGACTCAGTAAGCAGCAGCTCATCTGCAGAGCGGGGCGTCCAGGCCTCGCTGGTTGGCCTGGGAAGGCTCATCGCCAGGTTCCCCTGAATGGCACCTCCGGGGCCCACAGTCTACAGGGGGCCGATCCCACGCTTCTCAGCCCACACCGATACATGCACCGAGTCCACGTGGTAACTCGATCTCACTCTCCCTCTATGAACACATGCACACTCACCTACGTGTGCATATGTACATGTGTGTTTATATGTACATATGTGTGTGCATTCGTGTGTGCCTGGACACATATGTGCAGATATGGCCGTGCACTTCTCAGCTCTGTTTCTCTGGAGGACCCTAACGGACCCACTGATGCAGGAATGATTGAACAAGGGGAGGGCTGCGCGTGTCGCCCTGTGGTGTGCGAGTCTGCTCCAGCAGACCTGGGCTCAGCAAGTGCCGATTTACCGAAACGGCCACTCACTCCCGCGCAGCTCCGACGCCAGGCTGGGGCACTGAACGTGCTGCCTGAACAGCGTTGTTTCGTAGCCACGGTCAGAGGGCTTCAGGGGAGTCTGTACCACCTCGTCAGCAGCGCTTTGTCCTGCTGTGTTTACTGGTAACGGTGAGGTTGATCACTGGTGTCTGGCTTTGATGGGAGCCCTGGAGGACGCTGCTGTTGGGGGGGGGAGAAAGCAAGGAACCTGCCTCCGTGAACACAAGGCGCAGGCCCTGGGGGGGCCCAAGGAGGGCTGTGACACGGCTGCGGTGCGAGAGAAAGTGTGCCCCGCGTGGACTTCCAGAGCGGGGGCAGCCGGCATTTTCACTGGTCTCTCTGCCTCCCTCGCTCACTGCACCGCACTAAATGGCTGCAGCGGCTTTGTCGGCGTGGATCTTCTCTAGTGATCACTGCTCATGCAAGCGGCACAGTAAGCAGCTGTGGCTTTCTTTAAAAAATTGATTTATTTTATTTATTCTTAAGGCAGAGTTACAGAGAGAGAGGGAGAGGGAGAGACAGAGAGAGAGAGAGAGAGAGAGAGAGAGAGAGAGAGATCTTCCACCTGCTGGTTCACTCCCTAAATGTGCACAAAAAGTCAGGGTTGGGCCAGACTGAATCCAGGGCCAGGAGCTTCTTCTGGGTCTCCCGCGTGGTGCAGGGGCCCAAGCACTTGGACCATCTTCTTTCCCAGGCACATTAGCAGGGAGCTGGATTGTAAGTGGGGCTTCAAATCAGCGCCCATATGGGATGCCAGTGTTGCAGGCAGTGGTTTTACCCTGTATGCCACAGCACTGGCCCCTGCACATGGCATGGTAACAGCTGTAGCTTTCTAAAAGGCACAAGGTCTACCCATGTAGCCTGCAAGAAGGCCCATGGTGTACATAAAATGAGCGAGGTATAGACTAATATGGAAAACATGTTTGTGTAAATACACGATTTCACCTCTATTCCTTTTGAATGTGTGGTGCTGGATGGAGTTGTAGAAAATTAGGGGGAAACAAGGAAGCAGGTGGAGCAAATTGTAAGTGATGGTTACCTTAGGGAGGGGTGTATGGACTGCGAGAGTGGGGCCTAGAGGGTCAGACCCTTGCTATGGTCTCAATGTTTTTGTCCTCTCCAAAATTCATGTGGCAACTTAGTCCCTGATATGACAGTATTAAGAGGTGTGTCCTTTATTTATTGGCAGGGGCCAGTGTTGTGGTACAGCGGGTTAAACTGCTGTCTGAAGTGCCAGCATCCCATATGGGTCGCAGTTCAAGTCCTGGCTGCTCCGCTTCTGAGCCAGCTCCCTGCTAATGCACCTGGGAGCTGCAGGTGCACCTCTTTCTCTCTGTCTCTCCTTCTCTACTGTAACTCTGACTTTCAAATAAATAGAGATTTTAAAAAACATTTTGAAAAACGTAGATTGTCGCTCCCCGTCTTCGTGGGGGAACGACACAGGACCCTGCGCTGTTCTCCCGTCTGCTCGGCCCTCCCCGGGTTTGCTGCTGGTTCTTCCCGGGTTGGCTACTATCCCTTCCACCTCCGTGGAAGGGCAGTTCCCCCTGGCCGCATTCCCCACTTCCGCAGGGGAGCGGCACACCGCCGGCCGGCTTTCTCGGGGGCTGCACGGGTTCCCTTAGATGTTCCCCATAGATGTTCCAGGTGCATGCCGTCTCTCTCCTCCTTTATATTCCTCCTCCGCCAATCCCAACTCGGCTGCCCACACGCCGAGCACGCTGCTCTCCTCCAATCAGTAGCAAGTCCTACAGTTTATTGGTTGAACTGGAGGCAGCTGTGCGGAAGCTGTTTACTTCTCTCCCAGCGCCATATTGTGGGAGAGCAGATGCATAGAATAAGTCTTAATTCCAGTAACTCAGTCTAGTCCGGTTTGCTCCCCACAGTGGGAGAGCAGATGCATAGAATAAGTCTCAATTCCAGCAACTCAGTCTAGTCCGGATTGCTCCCCACAGTAGATGCTCAGTCTCTTTTAAGTCACATAAAGAGACAGATAGGGGCCTGTAGCTCTCCTGGGCTGGGATAGCACTCTGCTGGCTTTACAGTTCTGGGGTCTCTGGGGTGGCCCCAGTAGGTGGCCCACAGCTCCTCTAGGCATTGAGCCTGGGAACTCTCCTTGGTGGTCCCAGCCCTGCGGTATTTCTGTGCTGGGCACCCTGTGGCACCTGGGCGGAGGAAGCCCTACCTTCCCGGCCACTGCCTGCAGAGTCAGCACCTCCTGGGGCACCCACGCTCAGGCTTGCAGCCAGGCAGCACCTGGGCCATGGCTGGGGCTACCAAGGAGCCCTGTGAGCGTGTGCAGAGCAGAGACTTCAGTGGCCCCGGACCGTGAGCCCTAAGGTCCCACAGGCACCCTGGGCCTGATGGGCGTGGCAGGCTCAGAGACCCCCACAGTAACTTGGAGTCCTTCTGCATTTTCTGGCTTTCATTATCCATTCTCTCTCCTTAACAAAGTGGCCACACCAACAGTTTTCTCTCCTGAACACACTGGTTAAATTTTTTTTAAAGATTTATTTATTTATCTGAAAGTTAGAGTTACAAAGAGAAGAAGAAGCAGAGAGAGAGGGAGAGAGAGGTCATCCATCCGCAGGTTCACTCCCCCAGTTGGCCACAATGGCCAGAGCTGTGCCGACCTGAAGCCAGGAGCCAGGAGCTTCTTCCCGGTCTCCCACATGGGTGCAGGAATACAAGGACTTGGGCCATCTTCTGCTGCTTTCTCAGGCCACAGCAGAGAGCTGGATCGAAAGTGGAGTAGCTGGGACTTGAACTGGCGCCCATATGGATTGCCGGCGCTATAGGCAGAGCTTAGCCTACTACGCTACAGCACGGGGGCTGTATTAGAGTTAATAATCTAATTACCTTAATTCTTTTAAGGTAAGAGTATGTTTGGCTTTCTAAAAAAAAATTTCCCAACCTGTCTTCTAAGGTGGCTGCTGGGCAGACGCTCGGCATAGGAGCGGAGCCCCTGCTTGGCTGCTTGCATCTCATGTCAGCGTGCCAGGGTGCCTGCCCCTGCTCACCCTGGGAGGCACAGGTGATGGCCCAGGTAGCTGGGCTCCTACCACCCCCATGCGAGACCCGGATGGAGTTCCTGGCTCTTGGTTTCAGCCTGGCCCAGACCTGGCTGTTGCAAGCATTTAAGTGAACTATCAGAGGATATATCTCTGTCTATCTTTTTGCCTTTCAAATAAAATAAAATCTTAGAAAATAAAGTAGGCCTGCTTCCTGGCAAATTCTCAGAGCTTGTCAGAAGTTGTCATACAAAGCAATTAATTTGCAGCAAATAAGGAGACCATGGGGAATCATTTCCAAAGCCTTGACTCCCCTAGCATGGAAGCAGGTATGGTTTAGGGGAAATGAATATGCTTGAGGGGGCGGGCACAAGCTCACGCAGGCGCAGTTCGGACACGTGCAGAGACGTGTCTAAGGGATAGGGCTTGAGGGGCTCCCAGGGCGGGGATCTCAGCAGTAAAATGAAGGCAGGGCTGCCTCTGGCACTTTTTGGCCATCGGCCCAAGCGTTACTCTTGCAGTAGGGTCTGGATCTGTCCAGGGTGGCTGGGGATTGCGTCTCTCCCTAGAATGTGACCGAAAACCTGAAAGACAACTTTGGAGAACTTCTGAGCGGCTCAGGGCGTGAGCGCTGGCCGGAGACAGCTGTGCCGCTCTGCACGCCCCGCCCCGCATCCTCTCCAGCGATTGGCTTTGTCTGAGCTGGGAGTTCAGCCTCTCCGGCAGGTGTGCAGCTGCTCGCTGCCTGAGCCTGCAGCTCCCAGGTGACCTACCATGCGGGCATCTTTTCATTCGCTTCTCTGCCAGCTTCGCTAACGAGATGTCAGTTCAGGTCTTTGTCCAATTTTTAAACTGAGTCGTTTGTGTTCAAATGGTTGAGTTGTCAAAGTTCTGTGTGTATTCTGGGAGCGAGTCCTTGATCATGATGTGTGTTTTACAAATATTTGCTTCCAGTCTGTGGCTTTTCTTTCCATTCTCTTGACTCTAGGTCACTTTTTTTTATTTTTTTGACAGGAAGAGTGGACAGTGAGAGAGAGAGACAGAAAGAAAGGTCTTCCTTTTACTGTTGGTTCACCCTCCAATGGCCACTGCAGCTGGTGCGCTGTGGCCGGCGCACCGCGCTGATCCGAAGCCAGGAGCCAGGAGCCATGTGCTTCTCCTGGTCCCCCATGGGGTGCAGGGCCCAAGCACTTGGGCCATCCTCCACTGCCCTCCCGGGCCACAGCAGAGAGCTGGCCTGGAAGAGGAGCAACCGGGACAGAATCCGGCACCCCGACTGGGACTAGAACCCGGTGTGCCGGCGCCGCAAGGCAGAGGATTAGCCTATTGAGCCATGGCGCCGGCGTCTCTAGGTCACTTTTTTTTTTTTTTTTTTGACAGGCAGAGTGGACAGTGAGAGAGAGAGAGAGAGACAGAGAGAAAGGTCTTCCTTTTGCCGTTGGTTCACCCTCCAATGGCCGCCGCGGCCGGCGCGCTACTGCCGGCACATTGCACTGATCCGAAGTCAGGAGCCAGGTGCTTCTCCTGTCTCCATGCAGGTGCAGGGCCCAAGGACTTGGGCCACCCTCCACTGCACTCCCGGGCAATAGTAGAGAGCTGGCCTGGAAGAGGGGCAATCGGGACAGAATCCTGTGACCCGACAGGGACTAGAACCCCGTGTGCCGGTACTGCAGGCGGAGGATTAGCCTAGTGAGCCGCGGCGCCGGCGACTCTAGGTCACTTTTAACACTTGGGTTTTTCAAGTCAATGCTTAGAAGATGAAGGCACACAGAGAGGGCCTAGCCTAGTTCAGCCAGGTCTGCCTGGCCATAGCTCTCGTGTACATTTCCTGTGGGGAGGGAGGAGCTGCCTGCAGGCCTCCCCGTGCTGTACACAGCCTCCTCCTTGGTAAACCCCACTCATTGTTTACCACTGTGTGATGGAAGAAAACCCCTTCCCCCCCCACCAGCTGCCCAAGTGTGGGAAGAGTAGAAACTGTCAAGTCCAGGAGGCCACGTGGGTCGCCTGCTCAAGGAGGAGGAGCGCCGGGGTGGGGGGTGGGCAGCCACCCCGGGACACCAGCCCCTCCACCTGCAGACGCCTGCCTGGCTCAGCCCTGAGAAGCCCTTCCCTGAGCAGCCGAGTATTCCTTGTGCTTATTTCAGGAGACTGGCAAGCTGGGGTGACCTTGAACTCCCCTCTCCCCTTCTAATGAGGGAAGAGATGTCTCCGGAGCCCAGGCTGCAGGCGGCTTTGGAAATGCACAGATTTGAAGGGAATGCATTGGAGGATGTTCCTTCCGGCTCTTCCTGAGCCTTCAAAGAGGAGCCGCTCTTTCAGAAACCCGCTGTCTCTTCTCAGGCGGCCTTATGCTAATCTAGGCTGTGGGAAGGGAGCGCTGAGTCTTTATTTCAAGCACAGGAAGTCGGAGAAGGAGAAAACTCACCCGGTTCCCGCTGGGGCTGTAGGCTGGAAGGGAGGGCCTGGGGCTGGGGGAGTTGAATCTGAGGCTGCTGACGGGAGAGGGAGGTCCCAGTTAGACTGGTCCCCCTGGAAGGCATACAGGCTAACACTGATTAGGTTTGTGAGCTGGAAGACCACGCCTTCACCACACCCCTGTGTGACCTCACGCCCCTATCTGGCCACACCTGCGTGCCCACTGGCCAATCAGGTTAATTAACCACTCCCCTTTGAGAGTGAATTAAAAGCCTGGAACAGGGTGTGTCGGGCCCTTCCCTCCCTCCCTGGCCCTGGCCTCTTGCCAGGAGGGAGCTGGCTGTAGCCCTGCACCTACAGGGCCTGTGGCCTTCAGGTCAACCCACCTTATGCTTCCTGGCCTAGTTGCTCTTCTATGTGGTTGGTTGCTGGTACTCGGTATGAGCCCAGATCCACCTCTCTCCTATAGATAAAGCCCTCACTCTCCTATGCATCTTTCTCACTAAATAAAAGCTTAAAAAATGTACCACACTGCCTCGTTCATTTATGCCTGTATTTGGAATTCTCTAAATATTAGGCAAGAACCCACTCGGGCTTATTAATATTGGGGATTTATTAATAAGCATATGGTGGTATCGTATGGCACCGCAAATTCCGGTAACATGTGGCACCCCAGATGGCGTTTCTGGGGAACTTAAAGGGGCCACATT